TAATTTCTTTAACTGTGACTGTAAATTCACTTGTTCCATTAAGATTCCTTTCAGCTGCAAACTGATCTGTGTCTGCCTTTGGTAGTTTTCAGCATGTAGCTTCCTACATTGCCCAAGCTGTTTAAGTAGTATATATTTCATACTCCAAATAGACTGTGGATTTCTTGAGGGCAGGGTGGAACTCTCATACTTCCTAGTATGTCCAATAATAGCAGCTCACAGTTATTCAGTGTTTACTCAATAGTCACTCTGCCTAGTGCTTTATGTGCATTATCTCATATAGTCATAACAATCTCATAAGGTAGGTACTATTATTATACATTTGCAGTTGAAGAAACTAAGGCTGAGAGAGATAAAATGGTGAAGGTGAATTCTGAACCCATGTATGTTGACTCAGAACCTGGACTCTTTAACTATGATGCTATACCCCCTAGCACACTGCTGGGCGCAAAGAAGAAGAGACTCAGTATCAATGCTCAGAGAAGGGTATAAAAAACTTGGAAACCCACAAGCAAAAAAGGTATCAGAGATTTGCTATACATTTACTTGTTCTCCTGGTGTCTAAATCCTGTATGCTCCAAAAGACCACGAGCAACTTAAGGAACCATTTCTTATTCCTTTTTTACCCGAAATAGACTATCTCACCTGCACCAGACACAATGAGTATTCAAAACAAACTGAGAAGTATGTGCTTTATGTGTTTTAATATTTGCTTTTAAAAAAAGAACCCTCATACACTGCTGGTGGGACTGCAAATTGGTACAGCCACTATGGAAAACAGTATGGAGGTTCCTCAAAAAACTAAGAATTGATCTATCATATGATCCAGCAATCCCTCTACTGGGTATTTACCCCAAAGACGTGAAAACTCATATCCAAAAAGGTGTTTTCACACCAATAATAATGTTCATAGCAGCATTATTCACAGTGGCCAGGACATGGAAGCAACCAAAGTGTCCTATGATAGATGATTGGATAAAGAAGCTGTGGTACATATATACAATGGAATATTACTCGGCCATAAGAAGAGATGAAATATTGCCATTTGCGACAACATGGATAGACCTTGAGATAATCATGCTAAGCGAAATAAGCCAGACAGAAAAAGTTGAAAACCACATGATATCACTTATATGTGGGATGTAAACCTAAAAGCAACAAATGAACAGGACAAACAAACAAAGACTCATGGACATAGACTATAGACTAGTGGTTACCAGATGTGGGGAGGAGAGGGGAGGTAGATGGGGTAAAAGGGGTCAAATATGTGGTGACAGAAAGAAATCTAACTATGGGCAGTGAACATACAATGCAAAATATATATTTCTTACTGTTGAATTGTAAAAAGAATTAATTAAACATTGAAAAACTTTGTTTTTAGAAACTATGGAGCAAGAAATTAAGATTCTTAAGAGTAAATGGACTAAAAATCATAAAGATCACTATGCCAAATAAAATGCATCCGTTTGTCATCTTTATCCAGATTCAGTTAAGGAAGGAAGATAGTTTCTCTAAAAACACTGATGAGGACGGTGGCGTTCTTAACCATTAAATCAACCTTCCTTTAATTATGTATGGTTAGGCACATTCTATGATTAACTATATTCAGTGAAATAAGAAGAGCTGATTGTCAGGTCAGGAAAGGATAACTGCAAACGTTCTGGAAATAGCGAGGGTGAGTCAAGGACACCAGGATAGAGCTGTTGTCACCTACCCATGTGTTGCAAAAGTGACATCTTGAGTTCATTACTACTAGATGTCATGATATAGTATGGTGTTAGGGTTTGTTAAAATGTATACCTTGCTTATTATTTTCATAAACAAAGACTACTTCATTGCTCTCATTTATGCAGGAATCTCCTTGTAAAGCTGTACTTACCCTAATATGCTGGTTATAGCTTCTGTTTATAAAGCTAAATTGAAACACATGTTGTACAAATAAAGTTTGAGGGGGGAAATCCTGGCTCTTTTAAAATAACGATGATCAAGATTTTGTTGGTCAAGTACTGTCCCATCGGTTATTACACCTAAGAGACACAGCCACCTTGAGAACCACCGACTTCCTTTGAATAGTCACAGCTCTAGAAGATGTGTGAAATGGAGCCTTCCCTCCAGGAGGCCAGCGGAGGGTGAAGGGGAGCCTCTGCAGTGCGGCCTGGGGCCTCACTGAAAGCAAATGGTGTTTTCCTGCTACCACCACCTTCTCTAAAAATTCACCAATGTTTTTACAGAAAGAATCTGGAGTGTGGGGTTTTCTCTGTTGCTCTAACATTGTCTTCTTAATGAGTCCAATAAGAAGCTGAGCTTAGTTAAATATGCAATTGTTTTACAAATCATATTGAATCACAACTTCAAGCATCTCTGGGTTGTGATTTTTACCCACATCTACTAATACAAACCTTGTGCCAGACTTTTATCCAAGAGCCCAACAAAACAAATTAAAATAACAGTGAGTTTTATTTAAGCACGTACAGAACAAATATGAACATCATTTACTTGACCACATCTCCATTGTGTCTCTATAATTTAAAGGTAGATAAAGCATTTATATAAATAGTTTATATAGCTTTTTGAAAGAAAAAGAAAAACACAGATTTAAAGTGGTAGTCGACATAGTGGACATCTCTGATGTTGCTATCTGTCACGTTCTCTTTTCCTGAGAAGCCCCTCTCTCTTCTAGTCCCCAACCCAAGGCCCCGATCCCCCCCAATCCCCCCAATCCTTATAGCTCCTGATGAAGCTGCCTATTCCTATCCCCTGGGAACAGCTGATGGGTGCAGGGAGAGGCCAGTTTTCCCCTCAAGATTTGTGAACTTGGGGGCCAAGTGTAGGCCAGTCCCTTTGCAGAGACAAAAACAAAAACAAAAACAAACTGTCACTAGCCATATTTCTCATACATGAAAGAGGCTGAGCTATCGTGTGAGAAAATAAAGCCAACACACCGAGAGAAGCAGAGAGGAGAGGAGAGAGAATCCCGATACCATTCACATCCTTAGTCTCTGTGGTTCTCGGGCCAACTGTGTCCTGCTCCTATTGTGGTTTGGTTATTCAACTTTCTCCTGGCTTTGGAAAGCTAATAAATTGCAATACATGCTTAAGCTGGTTTGAAGTGGTTTTCCTTCACTTATAACCAACATTTTCTCTTGTAAAATATTAAACTAACAGATGATAACCGTGGAAAATCAAAATCTGCAGAATTCCATGCTAATGAGAGACTTTCATCCCTGGGTTATTTGAATACTCGTTACACACTATGAAATGCCAGGCCCTAATCAGAACCTAAAAAAGGACTTTTAGGACAAAGATGATCTGCGTGCCTCCACACATGCCAGATGCACACTTTGCTAAATCGATCTGCCTGCAGCTCCAGGCTCTGGCTGCAGTTAGGTTATTTCCCTGGACTTACTGCTTCCCATCCCGGTGGACCTGAAACAGCACAGTAAACCACAATGGGCCTTAGATGGATACCCCCAAAACCTCACCCAACGAACAAACAGATAGTAGAGGTGCCAATGCTAAAGGCAGAAAATCCATAGCAGCATGCCATGTGAATACATGAAATGTTTTGCAAGTTCGTAAGGCAACTTAAAAACTGCACAAAAATGGTGATCTACTAGCTATAGAAATAGATTTTTTTTTTGCAAAGAGTTTACATGTTTTGGTTTTTCCATATGATATGCTAAATGTAGGCACTACAGAAAGCAACAGGTTTGCACAGCTTTGGCAAGTGTATATGAAAGTGCTGAGCGCAGAACCAGGCATGAAGAAAGCGCTTAATAAATGTTAGTTTCACTTCTCTTGCTCCTTCCAGACTGTTGGTCTGATATCTCCATTACCATGCTGTTCCTCCTACTATTAAAGTTATACCCTATCCTTTCCTCTCCAGGTTGCTTTGCATCATGGAGTTTAGAGATTCTCCCCAGGTGGTTCTGTGTGCGAGGACAGAAGGGAAAGGCATTCTAGAAGCACAAAACACCTTTGCACCCACCCAACCACCCACGAGCAAGTTACATGGCTCACACTCCCTGGCGCCCATGGCAACTAGGCAATTGGTTACTTCCAAGTTATTTCAGCCACCTGGCACCAAATCCTCATCACCCAGAGACAATCACAAACCACAGGTGTTAAAATAGAGAATGGAGCCTACAAGACTCTCTCCTTGAAGTAATCAGGGACCTCTGATTAGCATATTGATGTTATCTGCAGAACCTAAAGGGCATCTAGGAACTCTAGAAAAAATGAGCCATATCCCTCCATATTCCACCGGGATGGAACTGGCTAGAGAGATAGTTCCCATGGAGAAAATGAGCTCCGAGAAGCAGAGTGACTACTGCACCTTTCTCCCAGCCTTGAAAGCCCTCACCTGTCTACATGGGCCTGGTATTCAAGTCCCTTCGAGGTATTCTTTCCAACCTCATTTTTCCACTACCCCTGTAGACACAGCCTAACTGCAGCAGGTGCCCATACTCCATCATGTTACTCCATCATGTCTACTCTGCCACTCGATCCTGAATGCCCAGCATCCCCCAACCCCATGTCCCCCAATTCTACCTGTTTTTTAAAGTCCCATTCAGATGCCATGTCCTCCCATAAGATCTCCTTGATCTCACCCTCTGATGTAATGGTGTCTCCTCCGAAATCCTACAGGTCTTTATCTACACCCTTTATATGATAACATGTCATTGTTTCCCTTGTGTTTTAAAGTTATTTACATATATGCTCTTATCATTTTCTGATTGAGTTCCTTAAGAGCAGTAACTTTAATTCATTTTTGTATTCCCGGTACCCAGTATGGTGCCTAACACAAAAATAGGCACCCAATAAATATTTGATGAACAAACATACAAATGTCTGTATGAAAGAATGACTACACATGCTTGCCAGTAATGGGTTTGACAAGCAGACTTCCCTAGTAGAAACAACAGAGGTCTATGTAAATTATTAACTTGACTTTCCATTATAGAGCAATCGGTGGAAATCTGGGCAGAATGAGCCATTAAGCCTTGGATTCAGAGCATCCCCTGGAATAAAAAGAAAACTCAAGTTCGAACATTTAACTTTGAGAGATCAAATCCTACAGAAAGGTAAGAGCAATTTTTTTTTTGCCATTTCTGATAAATTTCCAAACAACATACCATGTGCTGTCACTAAGTCAATACTCATTTATGATTTAGCTACTAGTATAAGACACTTTGATAAACACAATAAGGAAAAAAATTGCAAGAATCAGTCTCCCAACTCAAAAAGGCAGATGAGAAAAGTTAGTTTCTTCTCCTTCAATAAGAGATCCTATAAGACAGTACATGATCAATTGTCAAAAGCTAAAAACCTCAACAGTTGTTTCTGTGTACCGAGAATGAATTCATCGCACTCTTCCCTGGCATTAGGCTTTTACAAGAGAGGAGATAAAGCAGGAGAGTAATAGGTATTCCAAGATGAAAAATGTAAAACTTCTAAAAGTGGTAAAAGGGGAAGAGGCTCTGGCTTTCCCAGCTTGCGTGATGTTAAATAGCAAGCTTTGGATGTTTTCCAAAGAAGACAGTTCTACCTCTTCCATATTTCAGACTACCTAGTTCAAAAACACTGAGACAGAGGACCAATACCAGATCTGAGATGCAAGTGTGGCATAACATTTGTGAACACCAGAAGCTGAAGCATGGATAAATGGAGCCTTGCTATTCAGACCAACAGCATCAGCTTCACCTGGGGAATACTTAAATTCTTAGGTGATTTGTATGCATATTAGAGTTTGAGAAGTGCTTAAAGTTAAAGAACTGGTGTTTAAGGAAAAGAACGTGAATCCAAAGATGAAGATAGACCTGAGAAGCAATGGACTGAGATACCCATCCTGTATTAAACAGAAGGAGAACAGAGGCACTGTGATGTTTACACTGGGCGAGGACAGTGGAAGATAACTTAGATGTTTAGGATTTAAAAATAAATATCTACAGCATATTCCGAAAACTTAGAGTTAAATGGAGGAAAGGATCACGGTGGAAACTGGAGAGTACAATAAGGTATTACGCAAACATTCTTACAACTGGCCACAGCAGTATGCTATGGAGGAGCCAGAGAAAGGGGGCGGGCGGAGAGAGCTGGCATTGCTGAGACTGTCTCCTTTGGGTCAATGATATTGGTGAAATTGTGCCATAGTTATAATGACATAAATGAAAGGTAAATAAAATCATAGACTGTTAAAGGTCAAAAGGACCCTTTAGAGGTATGGTCCAGTGGTTGTTACTACCCTGTATTCAGAGAACTAGGGATCATGTGTGTGTCTTAAGAGAATGTGTCTTAAGAGCAGCTACTATTCTGTTTTGTATACTGGGTACTGGGAGAAAGATTTCATTTGCATAAAGGTTTCCAGCATATTAAAAATAAAGTTTGTAACCATTGATTCTAACTAACACCCACACTTCACAGATTTACAGATGGAGAAACTGAGATAAGGGAAGTGAATTGTCTAATGTGTATAGCTAATTAGTCATAGGGCTGAAACCAAAACCCATGACTGCTGATTCCTACATCAATGCCTTTTTTCACTATATCATTCTGCTATATCCAAATTTCCTTTGAAAACGCGTGTCACTTACTAAATGAGGTCTGTGTGAATCAAAAAGGAAATGTACGATCCAAAGAGGAGGGAGTTATGAAGAGTAGGAAGATTCATATGACGAAGAACATATTGTATTAAAAGCTCCAAAAATGAAAAAAACTATAAATGTTGGACTTAGCATAACTAGTGAGTGGGTAGCTTTGTTATTTTAGAACTTTACTAAGTATAGAAGTGCTGACGTCCAGATTTAGAAGAACTATAAATTGAGTTAGACTTTATCATTGACTTGGGTTAGACTTTATCATTGACTTGGGTTCTTTAACTTCTAAACTAATAACAGGTTTAAGAAAGACCAATTGGCGACCATTTGCATAAGTTTTGTACTTATGAACAGAAATCGTGACATTTCACGATGCATAAATGATGATGAAAGTATCGAAGCCTCCTAGCAAGTTGCAATTCTCCAGGGAAGCTATTAACAGCTTAACATTTCTGGTTCAACTTACTGAAAAAAGTTTTTATACTAAATACGCATGAAAGAATGCAATTAAGATAGCAAACTAGGTTGAGCCCGTTAGTTTCCTGGGTTTCTTGGGCCTATTACTTACTGAATCAAATACTGGTAGGTGTACAAGAAAGCTTGTACAACAATCCAAAACAGGTTTCACAAACTATGTTAAACAAACTATGTTTAAAAACAATACAACAGAAAAACAAACAAACAAAAAAACAACAACAAAAACCTTGCAAAGCCTCAATAGAGTAAACCAAGCTTTTCCCTCAGATAAACCATGGCTGGACCCATGATTGCCTAAGCAGCCTGGACAACATACGTTAAGATTTTTAAAATTTTCTTCTGTCTTTAATTACTTCTTTTGTCCTTCCATACTGAATATACTTTTGGGGCCAACCTCAGGATTTAATCATTCATTCATTCTACAAACATGTAATAATGCCCCACTATGTCTTAGGCACCACCTAGAAGGCACTAGAAACACATGGCCTCAAAACCTTCGCAGTCAAGTAGGAAAAATAAACAAGTAAGCTGACCATTAGGTTAGGTTAAAATTGTAGAGATAAGATTAGAAAAAAGGTGTGTTAGAAGAGGGGGGTAAACTATGGCAGGGCAAAGAAGGGGTGCTAAAGAGAAGGCGAACCTGGTTGTCTCATATGGCTTTTCAAAAAGAACATAATGTTTTCAGTTGGGAAAAATCCAAGTGCTCTAAAGGAATAAAAAGTATAAGGTAGTGGAAGAAAGAGAGAATAGCACATGGAAAGACAACAAAGTACAGAGGCACACAGCACATTCAGGGCACTATTCAGGAAGGCTAAAAAAATAGTGGATACTAGGGAGGAGCAGTGAAAGCTGAAGCTGGGCAAGTTTAAGGGCCCAATTGTAAACAACCTTGATGCATTTAAGCTAAGGAGCTTGTTTTAAGGGCAAGAGAAAAGGGATCAGATTGTTTTAGAAAGAGTATTCTAACAGCTTGGAAGGGATGGACTGAAGGATGGCAAGGCTGACTGTGGGCGGGGGAGGGCGGTCTACAGCAGTCCAGAGCAGAGTGAGAAGGATATTCCCATAGAAAGGCAACTCGGTGCAGTCAGAGCTCAAGCGGAGTGAGGAAGGTGTCCACACAAAGGAAAGGCAGTAGCAACAACAGGACACTGGTTACAAACAGGGGGATGCATACAGTATATACTACTCGTGTAACTCATCGTAGTTTATTTGTTCATTTTTTTTCTTTTTTGGCATGGGTAAACAGAAGGTGACTGTTGGACCCTTTTTATATGGAGGCTCCTGTCTTTCCATTCTAGGAAATTATCTTCTATTTTTTCTTTGAAATGTTTGTCCATTTTGTTTTCTTTATTCTTTTCCTCTAGAAGCCTAGTTTGTTGGGTATTGGACTTCTGGATTTGATTTTTTTTTTTCCTTTTATTTTCTTATGTCTCCACTGGTTCCCTTTGCTTTTTTTGATTCTTCTTTCTGGGGGATATCTTTGACTTTATCTTCAATATTTCCACTGAATTTTTAAATTCTGCTATCATTTTTAGGATATTCTGGGGTTTTTTAAAATTTTAATTATTGAATTTTAATTATTTTCTCTTGAGTTCCTTCTTTTTTTATATTGGAGGCTTTCCTCAAAAGCCTATCTAACTATATATTATAATAATATATTAAGGATAACCAGATCTGGATTTCTCACCTTCGGAGATGGAAGTTACAAATATGTCTAAAGAGAGAAATAGAACAAATCCAGCGTACTGAACTGGAATTGGAGGTATCAATATGAACATGGTTGTTGAACATACACAGATAGATAAAGAAATAATATTGAGCATCAAAGTAAACAATAATGGTAACTGACTATAATCCATTAAATAACATGTGAAGCCTTGAGTTCATACTGCTATAAACAAATAAATTTAAAGTTTATTGAAAAATAGGATATTTAGAAAGTTTCAGGGGATCTCCGCACAAAATACCAATTACAAAGGGGACGAAAAGTAAGTTTATAGTGGACAGCCTTACAGACACCACCTTGAACAAATTATTAAGGTGAATACTTAGTCGGTAATCAGTGAAACAGACAGACTGTGTCACTTACAAGGGGAATGAGAAGAACACAGCAGCACCTTTGTGATATGCCTGCCACGTATGCATAAAAAGAATCCAGTCATGATGGATATCAGGCAAACCCATACTGAGAGGCATTTTTATAAAACTGGCTTATAATATTCAGAAATGTTGTGAATGTTAAGGAAAAACTGAGGAACCATTACAGATTGAAGAGACAAAACAACTGAATGAAACACATTCTAAACAAAATTCTGCTAAGAAAATCATTAGGGCAATTGGTAAAATTTGAATGAAGCCTTAGAATTGGATGGTAGTATTATATCAATGTCAATTTCCTGATTTTTACGGCTATATTATGATTATGTAGGAGAACATACTTATTTATAAGAAATACACTACAGTATTTAGAGGTGAAGGGTATCACATCAGCAACTTCCTCTCAAATGATTTTAAGAAGTGCTTTGTACTGTTCTTATATTCCTATTACAAATGTAAAATTGTTTCAAAATTTTTTAAAAAGAAAAGAATTAGAAGACCAGACCATATAAACGTTCTGTAGAGAAGCTGGAATATTATATCGGAAACCCACATGCTTTAAAGTTTTATGGTACATATTTATACTTAATTGCATAATAAAATACATATAATTCTCAAATCATAACATGGGTTTAGTAACTTCTGCAAATACTGCTATTTTCCCCCAAATTAAGGAATCTTGCCAGGTTTGATTATAGCTACCTACCTGGAATGGCTGACCTCCACCTTATCCTGGAGTCAAGATCTGATGCCTAAAGTAGTCAAACCTATGTTAGCAGTGCTTCTATACAAAAGTGCTTAAGAAGGCTTATTTCTGTCTGGGTGCTACACCTAAATGTATATCAATAACAACCCTTTAAGATAAATACTATTATCATCTCTGTCTTGCAGGCTTAAAAATTTCTGAGATAATACAAAAGGCCCAGTCTTTGACTAGTGAGTGGAGCACTGGAAACAAACTCAGTCTCTCCTCTAACTCACAGCCCATGCTTTTCCCACTGAAATCCAGTAGCTGGCTACACACAAGGCACCAGGCTATTCACTGTGGGAGAAACAAAAGTAAATGAGATATGTCCTCAGAGAAGTATTTCTGCCTTCTCCCCTTTATGCTATAGTTGGAATCTTCTGCCTCATACATCTTGCCATGACTTCCCCCATCCTAGTTTTTATCATGGGGTGAATTCAGGGAAACTATTTATTCTACCTTTTCCATCACTAAAGAGATGTTATAACAATTCCGAAGATTTACAAAATGTGCCTTCGAATATAAAAGTAAAAAAGTCCTCTCTTAATGTACTGTGTTAAATGAGTTTACTGAGTTTATAATGAACTCTTAATCAGCTAAAAATGAAAAGAACAAATGATAGAGAAAGATATAAAGAAATGAGAATTACTTCTGAATAATTTGATGTTGGATAAGAAAGCCAAAGACAAATCCAGAAAATGTTAAGCGTTCTGGGATAGTGAACTGCTTACTCCTAGACTTTGAATGTTTCACTTGATGTAAGAGATCACCAAAGAAACTCTCAGAAATAATGGCCATGCCCCTGACTAGAAAAAAATGGGACTACTGCTCTCTGAAGAAGCAATGGGACCTTGACTTCAAGTATCTCTGTGAAGGTTATGGTATTCTTCTCACTTCAGCAATGGTTAAAAGAAACTGCTAGGTAAAAGCAGAGAGAAGAGAATAAGATGTCACTTTATTAAGTCAATAATGAATTCCCTTAACCAAGCTCATAATACAAAATATGATATGCTTAATATCATTTCTGCAATTCTGATTTATCCATCTGGAACACTGGTCTCAGTAGAATTCTGAGAAGCTTATATGTATTGAGCAAATTATCCCATAAAACAAATATTCTAAACTTCAAGATAGCATATAAGGAACCTCATTATTACTTTAAAAGCTTTATGGAAAAGGCAAAAGAAGGCTTGTTTGTAGATTATTCAAACATAATTTAGAAATTACTTTAATACAGGAACATATAGGCAAATTCAAGATGGCTATGTTTCTCGTTGTCAGTACTGTGTCAG